GTGAAACGGTGTTTGATTTAAGCCACGGCTCACGGAGTTGGAGGACTGTGACACAACCCCGGCTCCACGTGATGATTAATTAATTAATTTATTAGCTGTGCGGGCAAAACGACCGCTATCCCCACAGGGAGCGCCGGGGGTGCTGGCACACACACTTCGAGCTGGGGTGTCTTGCACTGCGCAGTGCCGGAACGACACAGATTCCCCACTCTGTCTCACCCAGAGAAGGTCCCACCTGTCCGGGTGCTCCCGGATAAGATTCCAGCCTCTTCACCCGGCATTCTGCAAACCCCAGTGAGGAGCGAGGCCACCGGGAGGTGCCAGAAAATCCTGCGACGTGGCCGTGCCCAACTCCTGCCCGCTCCGGCATTCTGGCATGGGATTTTTGCACAGCAGCCTGTGACAGCAGAGAGAACAGAATTGCCTTGGGAAAGTGCCTAATCTTCCAATTCTTTGGGCCTCATCCTGCAGGAAGAGGCAGGATGAGGCCGAAGACACGGCGTTCCATGCAACAGCCGCCCAGCACCCTTGGCAGCGCGAGCTCCGCAGACATTTCCCATGGATGGACTCGGGATAAGGGCACCGGAGCAGCCAGGAATCCCATGTAGGCCAGTGCGGGATAGCTAGTGGGATAACTAACAGGGAAAGTTCCCGGCGCTCCCTTCCCCTCTCTCTTTGCCCCAGGCGATTCCGCGGCTTTTCCGTCGGTTTCTCCGTGCGCTGGCGGCAGCTCCAGCCCCATCTCCGCGCCACGAGCGGGAGCTCACAGAGGGAAGAGGCAGCCCCAACACACACAAGCTGGCGCCAGGCAGTAACCTTATGTACACGCAGGCAATTCTTGTCCATTTTAATAAAAATAACGATAAAATGGCAGAGGTGGCTCCAGGGCTGGGCGGCAGCTGGCACCAAGACCCCAGATGAAGGAGTTGGGGTGAAGCGAAAATGAAAGCGGCCGCCGGGGCCTGGGCGGGCACAGCGGGATGAGCAGCCTGGCCCGGCGAGGGGAAGGGGGACGAAGCTGCGGCCCCTTCCCCTCCGCGGGGCACCAGCTCTAGGTGGGACTGGGGGCTTCCTTGCCCCGGCCCCATGAATTCGCCGGAGGCTGCAGTGTTTTGGCAGCACCCGGGTGCAATGACCACGTGTGCAGGCACCCGCAGTCTGTCGGAAGAGGGTTTTGCACCGCAGCCTCCGCACGGTGGGACGAGCTGCACACCAGGACACGGGGGTCCCTGAGAGCAGGGTCGTGGGGAGGCCAACCCCAGCCCACGGAAGGGCTGGAAGGAGTGAGCGCCTCGGGTGCCCCCTGCTCCCCCGTGGCC